AATTAAGATTTCCTTCGTCAAGGCTAACCTCAGTGCCCAAGCTCATATTTAATGGTGGCCAAACATTAAACAGATTTATTAAACTAGGATTAAGTAACCAAAATTAACATCAAGCATAATTCATTAAATGAAAATAAATTCTAATCCAGAAGTAAGTTCATAGCTACTCTAAGTCAAAAGAAAACTAGCCACACATGGCTAAAATCAAATCCATAACATGAAAGGTAAATACTCAGAATGAAATAACAGTAGAAAAAGATGAAGGGTAGAAAGCAAAACAATGTACAATCCTTCCTCCTTTTACTGCTGTCAGTAGAAAAAGAATGAAGAATCAGAGATGAATGCTTCGCTGCTATCCCACTGGTTGCTCGCTACGTTCAATCCTATTCATCCCAATTCCTCGCTGTCATCACAGTGGAACTGAGAATTACGGGTTGATTCCACGCTGCTCTCTCTTCTCGCTCTCTTCACGCCTCTTCACAAGATATATATATATATATATATATTCTTTCCTAACTCTCCTTTTATGTTTAAAATATTTTCTACAAAATAAACAATAAATTGAGTAGATTTTGCACAAAGATTCATTTTTATCCCATAACTAACTGAAGAGGAGAAAATATATCAAAATTTAATTAAATAGGCATAAGATATTCACAAATTTGACCACATGTATTTCAATATCTAACCTATTTAATTATAAAATATATACTTATCATTACGTAATCATGAAATTCAACCAATTTCAACATAAAACCACTTTATTCTTGTTCCTTCCAAGCCTTTAAACATTATTCTAACATCAATTTCACCTTCCCTCACACTTACAAATTTCATGTAGCATGTCCTCTTAGGGTTTCAACCTCCCAAAAATGATTAAAATCCATAACCAAGCTCAACAATAACAAGAGTAGTGAAAACTACATCAAAAACCATGAACATACCTTGTTTTAGAGTTTGATTTTGCATAGAATCACTTGGCTTCTCTCTTCCCTTCTTATTTCTCTCTCTGGAATTTATTTTGCAGGAGTTTTCTCATAGTTTCCATAGGCCTAGGACAAAATGAGGGGAGGGGAGGGGGTAATATGTAGAGTATGTGAACAAATTTTAGCCATTGATCTTGAAATTGCAAGATTAAATCTTGGCCACTCATTTTTCCCTCTTTGTCTTCTGGTGACAAGTGTTCTCATGATATCATGCTTAGCTCATCATGCTTACATCATCAAATCACATGTCTTTAATCCAATCGTATATGTGTCTTGCATCCAATTGTGCACGTGTCTCTTCCATCTAACCATACACTTGTCTCTTCCATGTCCATTCATCATTGTGACATTAAAATATAGGGAGGAAATTAATATAAAATTTGTACAAAATACAGTCTTTAGGCATTCTTCCACCTATCTTGCCACTCTGGACTTTATTAGGTACTTTTTCGGGTTTTGACTTCCTCGAGACTACTAGGACATGTTCTGACATCCTTTTCTCACCTCAAATAAATCTATATGGCATTATATAACATGCCTAAAGAGGAAGTGATGCTCTTTCCTTGTTCTTCTATTAAAACAATTAATAATATTTATTTTGGAGTAAACTTGACCGAATTTTTTCTAACAGCCCACGGCTTTGAGAATCTATCTCTAGGTACCAATACTATTTATTTATCACGGGAATTTTTTTAAATTTTTCTTAAGTCAAAAAGTCAACCTTTAGACAGTTTACTTTGACTTTCCTCGGATAGTGTATAAATAGGCTTTAAATTCTATTAAAGTCAACCTCTTCGCTTTCTGGGGATGAAATTATTTTTAAAACCTGTGATAATTTCTCAAGTATTTTTTTCCCATTTTCTTTCAACTATCTAAGGCCTCCCTATATTTTAAATAATTTATTCTTGATAATATTCAAAATTAGTCAAAACCCTCATAATTCCATAAATTCCTCCCAGAGATATTTTCATTATTTTCAGCCTCATATGGGCCTCTCAACCTTATTTCTATTTTTTTAGAATTTTTCTGAAGTATTTAGGCCTTCTCTCCATCACTGTCCCTTTTCAGCTTGAAACTTTCTAAATTTACATTTTAGGTCCCAATTTGGGTTTAGTCTCAGAAATCCTCTTACTAAGGTTCCTAACACAACTTTTAGTCCTTAATTACCTCAACTTCTTATATTGAACCCGTAAACATCACATATAGGTCTTAACATGCCATTTCCCTTTCTGTGAGATTTTTTTGGAACTTTTAGACATAATTTCTATTTTTGCCCTTACCAGCCTAAATTTGTAAAATTATAATTGTACCCCTAGTTCGGCTTAACCCATAATTCACCTCCTTGAGGCCTCTAACATAACCTTTGGCCTACATTCTTGGGCCTCAAGACTTCACCAAAGTCTCTAACGTTTTCTTTTATCAGTCCCAAAAAACTTTCCCTTTGCGATTTAGTCCCTAAGAATCCTTTTGTCTGTCTAGGGAACCTGTGGGACCTCTTTCGAAAAGGGTTTGATAGTCTGCCTATTTCAAGCTAATTCTAGCACTTCAGGGCCTAAAATTCGGGATGTGACACTTAGAATGCGACTTGTTCCTCCCAGAACCCTGACCTCAGGAGTCAATTCAATAGGAATCCTCAAATGTTGTGCTATCTGTGGATGTAAAAAATTGTCTAAGCTTTCTCCATCTAACAAGATTTGCACCTTGGTACCTTGAATATCTCTATTGAATTGGATAGTTATAGGCCCCTGTGTCCCTCTCAATGCATGCAGAGACAAGTTGTGCAGTGTTAGTTCCGTCTCCTTAACATCCGGTTCTTCAATCAGAGGGACACCTTCCTTGTCTTCATTTAATAGCATCATTAATTGTTTACTGGGCCAACAGTGGGAAGGGGAGAATTTAGCATCATAATGTAACACAGGCCCGTCTCCCTCGTTACTTGGATCTCAGCCGCCCTTATCTTCTTAATTGGTGGAGTATTTGGCTTGATGACATCCAAACACTTTTACATTGTCAAAAAATATCATGTCACCAGAAGGAAGGAACAAAGAACTTTTACAAAATTTATACAATATTCTAAATTAAATTAAAATATCAGGATTTTTTTCTATCAATAATAGTTATGTATTTATATTTATTAATTACTTGTTTTAAAACACAGTTTTGAAATGTTGGTTTATTAATTATATATGAAAATATCCTTGTAAGCATATTTGTACGGATGTTAAATACTACCTCTAGTCCTTAATATAAGAGTTAGTTGACTAATTTTAGTATATTAAAGAAGTTTGTTGAATTAATTATTTGTAATAAATAAGTGTTATCTTTCCTAAAATACCCTTACTAATTAGGTGTATTAGTTTAATACTATTTGATAAAACATTTAACATTTACAACTATTAAAAGGACTATTTTGAACAAAAATAGATAAATATGAAAGAAAAAATAAATTAAATCTTATATTTAAGATCAAATTCAATATTAAACTAATTCTTATATTTAAAATTGTAAAGAAGAATAATGTATAGGAACAAAGTAGACAAAAATAAATCAAAAGACGAGTAAAATTAACTTTGAGGAAAATTTAAATAATCATATTAGAACCAACAGAAATTAAGACATTCAAGTAAAGTATTCTTCCTTAATATAAGGACTTAATTAACTAATTTGGATAAATTAAAAATGTTAGTTAAATTAGTTAATATATTTTTTTTCTAAAATACTCTAGGTATTTTCTTTAATTATATCTCTTCTTCTCCTATTTGATTATTATTAGGAAAATATCTATAAGGTTAATTTAGAGAAAATAATAAATATGTAAAATAAATCTCACATATAAAACTAATATTAACTTTTTAATCAGTTCTCATGTTAAGTAACCACGAGCATGAGACAAATTTAAAAGTTACAGAACTTTTTTTTTGGGCGTTGACGGGCAGATTGCGTCAGCCTACGACGGAATTAGGAAAGTGGAAAAAAGGAGAAAGGAAGACTTGAAAAAAGCAGTCTCACTCCTCGTTTCCTTGCCGTATGAGGTGGGTTGGGCCTGAGTCATGCTATATCAGTGTTGATTATTGACTTTTGGTGACTAGTTTCATGCGTCTCTGATTATTTGAATCCAAAGGATCAACCATCAGTTCTCAGTCACAATTAACAATTTAGGGGGTGTTTGGCTTTTTTGCCAAACCATGGTTTGGCAAAAAATTTGCCAAACACCCCCATTTTTTTTAAAACCAAGGTTTTGGGCAAAACCTTGGTTTTGCCCAACAAAACCTCGGTTTCCAGATAAGCAGGCGGGGGTTCAATTCAGCTCACGGTTTCCAGATAAGGGAATAATTTATTGGCTTCAATTATTGGCTCTCCCCAACAAAGGCTCAACGGTCAGCTCCACGGTGAAGGGAACAAGCACGCAGGGTTCATTCAGCTCACGGTCAAGACCCATTCTTCGGCCTCTTCTCTCCCATTCCATCGCCCCTTCTCCCACTGCTCTAAAGATTTCCCTTCTCCTGTGCCGTCGCCCTTGCTGAAGAAATCGGTTCTCCTCTGCCGTCGCCTTTTGTCCCATTCGTGCTGTGCCGTCGCCTCTTCATCCCATCAGTGAGATCGTGAACCGCTGAGGAATTTCAATGCCAACGAGGTGTTTCTCGACCTCCGAGAAGAAGATCGCGTATTGGGTTGCCTGATCCAAGCCTTCCATTTCTAGTATCGTCGCTGGTCAGTTCATCTGAAGTCAGTTCATTCTTCCACCGTCGCCCCTTCCGAAGCTCTGGTCGCCGTGTCTTCTTCCGTCGGTCAGATCCAACTCCTTCCGGTAAGCTGTCTTCTTCCATCAGTCATTGTGGCTGGAGATCTGGTGCATTAGAAATTCTGTGAAGCGTCATTTTTTTCCCCGAAACAGAGGTTCCGTCAGCGTCGTTTTTTTCTTCCGAATCAGATGTTGGTTTCACCGGTTGCCTATGCTATGTTCACTTGTAGAGGCTGATTTTGTTTGATGGTAATCATGTGTGTGTGTATACGATGGGAAAGATCTCGGTTGTGACTGGTTGTGCTTCGTGTGTGTGTATGAGAGACAGAGCATTTGGTGGGTGTTGATCAAATTTTCCGTTTTGTCGATTTTATTTCGGAGACAGGACGGTCGAATTTTTTTCTTTTGTGCTTGATGGTTGCTTTTGCAGTGTTATATGTATGGGATTTTGATCGTTGGGTGTAGCCAAATTGGGTCAGTTAACCGAAATGAATTCTCCTGGATGCTGGGAAAAAAATAATTATTAATGTGTATGTATACCATTGGATTATAGAACACGCCGCTATACTTGTTAAATACTATCCTGTTATATCATATCTCCTGGACTGAATGGTATGCTTTTTGGGTTAAATTTGTGATAACTGAACTGTTGTAATTGGTTTATAGCATAATGAATAAAAAAAATGGCAAAGCTTCGTGGGATATAAGAGCCACAAAGGTCTTTATTGACCTGTGTATTGAAGAAGTTGAAAAGGGGGAAGAAGAAGAACTAGCTTGACAAAGCCTGCTTGGACAAGTATTGAGGAGAACTTTACTGCAAAGACTGGGAGAGTTTATACGAGAATCCAATTAAAGAACAAATATGATACCTTGCGAAAGGAGTGGCAGTTATGGGATAGGCTGCTCCGTGAGACAGGTTTAGGGTGGGATGCCGAAAGGAATACTGTTAGTGCCCCTAATATATGATTGGTGGGAGAACAAAATAGCGGTAATCATTTAATTTTATTTGAGCTTGTATTTTCTCCCATGTTAACGTTTTTTGTATAATGTATAATATTTTTGGTGTTGAATTCGCAGGAAGTTCCAGGCTATGAGAAATTTAGAGAAAGAGGGCTTCAATTTCAGGCTGAATTGACTCAACTCTTTGGGTCTATAGCTGCGACTGGACCACAGTCATGGGCACCTTCTTCCATGACACTTCCAAGCGAAGGAGTTCCTGAAAATGATATGGAAGAAGGATCTGGAGATAGTGATGAAATTTTGGGGGCACCAACTGGCATAAGCGGGGAGTTTAATTCAGTCACATTCAATGACAATAGTGGAGGAAGTGAAGGCAACACTGGAATGAGACAGGAAACCATTCGTGGGGGTTGAAGCACAGGTGGCAGTCGACCTAGTAGCTCATTAGGAGTTAGAAAAAAGGGTGAATCCATGAAGAAGAAATCTACTACCACTATGAAAATAGCGAATGCACTAAGCAGGATAGCTCAGGCAAATGAAAATGATTCTCAGCGTGAACATGAAGAGATTTCAGAAGCACGTGCTAGGAAGCTAGAAGAAGAAGCACGTGCTTATGAGATGTCAATTGCGGGAGTCATGGAGCACCTTAATGAAGTTGATGAAATTGTTGATGATCCTGATCTTTTTGGCCGGTGCACAACACTTCTTATGGATAAGCCAGCTGCAAGGGAGATGTATGTGGCTCTGAAGAACAAGAGGGAAAAACTACTGATCTTCTTGAAGCATGCAACTAAGGATTGAGACTTTATTTATGTTGCTTAGAAGATGACTGTGATAATTTGTATCTATTTTTATGTGACTTAGAAGATGACTGTGATCATTTGTATCTATTTTTATATATTATGTGACTACTTAATTTCTGTAGGAATTAAACAACTTATTTTCTTGTTAAATGTTAAGTAATTTCTTATCAGGGTTTCTGAATTTTATGTCTATCTGCACAGGACAAGACAAAAAATGGCTGATGAAATTAAAATTGCGGAAAAATCGTAAACGACGGAACAAACGGGTTAATCAAGTTGCAGTAGCGGTTGGTGGATATGCTTCTCTTCATTTGTGTAAAGAGCCCCAGCATACAAGTATTTATACAGGCAAGGTATGGGTAAGGGACGTTTTACAAGGCCATTCCAATCGTTGTTATAACATGTTTAGGATGGAAAGGGAAGTGTTCTTTAGTCTTTGCACAGAATTGCAACAACACGGTCTAAGAGAAACTAGAAATGTTGGGATACATGAAATGGTTGCAATGTTTTTAAATACCGTTGGCCATGCGCTTAGTAGTAGGATGCAGCAAGAAAGATTTCAGCATTCAGGGGAGACAATTAGTAGACATTTTCATAATGTCTTACTGGCTTGCTGTAGACTTGCTATTATCAACATCAAACCAAAAGATCCAACGTTTCAGCATTTGCATACAAAAATACGGCCCGGTGGTCGATACTGGCCCTTTTTCAAACATGCTATTGGAGCAATTGATGGAACACATATTTCATGCATTGTTGATGCAACTGAGCAAACAAAATTTATTAACCAGAAAGGAAGAGTGACGCAAAATGTAATGGCGGTTTGCGATTGGGACATGTGCTTCACTTTTGTATTAGCCGGATGGGAAGGTAGTGCGCATGATGCTCGTATATTTGACCACGCCCTCACAACTCCTTCCATGAACTTTCCCCATCCGCCTCAAGGTATATTTTAAATTCCTACAATTTATTTATGCTTCACTGTTAGAAAACAAATTTTATTGACACCAATCATATATTTCATGTAGGCAAATATTATTTGGTGGATGCTGGCTATCCGACACCCATGGGATACCTTGGTCCCTACAGACGTGAACGCTACCATCTTCCTGATTTCCGAAGGTCATCTGCACTTGAAAATGATAATGAGGCATTCAATTATTTGCACTCAAGTCTACGGAACACTATCGAAAGAACTTTTGGAGTTTGGAAGAGTAAGTTTGCAATTTTAGGAAACATGCCGAGCTATGACTTTTCAACACAAGTTCAAATTGTTTGTGCAACGATGGCCATACATAACTTCATTAGATCAACATCCATTTCTGATCCTGGTTTCATTGAGTTTGAACAAGAAGGTTCTTATGTAGAAGAAAATGATGATGATGGAGTTGGATCTCCACATATACCTTCATCAGTAGATTCTTCATCTCACATGGCTCGGCTTCGTGACTCTATAAGAGATCAAATTGTTCACTACATACAAGAATAGTTATGTCCTTTTTATTTTCTTTTTTCTTTTCAGATAATGTAATGTGTTGTTAAAAAAACCTACTTGAACAAATATATTTCGTTGCAACCTCTATTATTAAGACAATTAATATGAATTTTTTTTGTGTGGTTATTTAATTTTGTGAAATAATAATATTTTCTTTAGCAAAATAAATCATTTTCCTAAAAACATATTTATTTATTTTATTAATATATACACACACTAATTTCTTATTATTTATATTATTTATGCCATATTTATTATGTTGCCAAAATATATATTATTAATAAATTTATTACTTCAAATAAACATATATTATGAAATATATCTTATATGTAATTATCATTTAAACTTGTGTCCTTTTTAGTAATTTCTACATATCAAAAAGCACTTCTGACAATAATTATCCAAACACTCTCACTTTATCAGAATCACTTTTTCAGAAAATCTATTCTTTCAAAATCTATTCTCCAGAAGCTATTATGCAAACCATGGTTTTGCTTCATCCAAACACCCCTTATACTTTCATATTCATGTGTTGAGAAGTAGTTAAGATAATACTTATTATAATATAATAGATCCGATCTTTAATATAAAAATTAGCTGTAGATTGAATATGGTTCTAAATATAAAATTATAATCTACTTTGCCTTACAAATTTATAATTTTTTTCAAGTATATGCCTATTAATTGTACATATTAATTAAGGGGTTCTCATTAAAGAGTAATTCCAATGCACAATATTAATAATGAATATAGTTTAGAAAAATCAATACACATTTCTCATAAATAACTAGTTTAACTAATTTTTTTAGTATTTTTAAATTAATTATTGAGCTTTTGTATTAAGGATGGGATCTCTTGTACCACATATAGAATTAGTCGGATAAGGAAATATCGGGGGAAGATAGGTAAATGATTATGTAAATCTTAAAACCAAGTCTTAATTTTTACAAGTAAATTTTCATGATTTACAAAGCATGCACAATTTTAAACTGATTATAACTTTAACTAATTTGTAATTAAACTTTCAGGATTCACAATTGAGATGTGTTGTTAATCACATTACTGCATTTTTTGTTAGTTTCATTTTCTTTTTCCCTTCCCAACCTGGGTCCTTCTTCGTAAACCTTGTAATCTCATAAATGCGTGGTTAGTGAATTTTTTTTTATAATCTTTATGGGTTCCACTTTTGCTTCCAATTCCAATTCTGAGCCTCCAATTTCTTGTTATCAAACGAGGCTATTAAAGCATTAAAATGACTTGTTCAAATCCCATTTCTATGCCTCGAATTTCATGGTATCAAATTAAATGATATTGCTTCTGGTCCTTAATATAAGAATTCATTTATTTTTTTTTATTTTAAATATAAAACATCAATCCACTTTGTCTTATCAATCTACTTTGTCTTTCATATTTATCTATTTTCTTAAGGTAGTCATTATAATAGTGATATTTCTAGCCAATACACTTGATTAGCAAAAATATTTTAATAAAGACAACATCTATTTATTAAAAATAACTAACTTAACTAATTTTTTTAATATATTTAAATTAGTTAACTAGCTCTTATATTGAAAACCAGGGGTAGTGCATTAGTTTATTTCAGCATTGACGGGGTGCCAGTCTACATGTCGTTTGAAGCGGATGGTGGAGGAATTATTGGACAGGCAAGGGGAAGAGTCTAAGAAGTGACTATGAAGACTCGAAACCTTTCAGTTGGTCAGGTCTTCATTGTCGTGTTCAAAACGGGCTTAAAATTTAAATGAATAAAATTTTGTCACAGACTTTTCACAGATGTAAAGGAAAAGAGAAAAAGAATAGACTAATTATTTATTACTTTGATTATTATATATTTATATGTATCGATGGTGTACTGTATATCGTTTTTTCATTACATGAAAGGTAAACAATAATCAAGGAAATCAAGAAATAATTCATGTGTGCTTAGAAAAAATTTAAAATTTTAATTATCTAAAACATTTTTTAATGTTGGTTGAAAATGTAGAGAACTAGAATAACTAATCCTCCAAAATTTGTCATATACTCCTCTGGTCCTAAATATAAGACCTTTTTCGTAGTGTAATTTACATTATGAAAGGGGTCTTATATTTAGGATCGGAGGAGTATTAAATATGAAACGGAGGGGAGTGAGTATTACGGTTCTAGCTAGTCGTGTTCACATATCTACTCTTCTTAATCACTGGTTCTCAAATTCTAATTCTGCCGCGTTGAAAATTCCAAAATACTAAAAACTGATGAATATAAATGAGAATAGTAAAAGGAGTTAACAGACTGTCGGCGTGTGGATTGAAATTGATCATCACACCTCCCCCTCTTAGTCAACAGGTGGAGGTTGATGAAAGGTAAGCTTTGAGCTCTTGTGTTCCCTTTTTGTTGAGGTATGATATGCAGTTTTTCATCCCCAAAAAAATGATCATCACAAAATGATTCGTCTCATGAATTCTCCTCAGCTCTGTCTTCTTCTTTGCCTTGTAATCCTTTCGATTGCCAGAATCAAAGGATTGACTTACGTCTGTTCCCCTAAAACTTATGCCCAGAAAAGCACGTTTCAGACAAATCTGAACCACTTACTTTCTTCCCTTTCCTCCAACAGCAATCAAAGTGATGGATTTTACAACACCACCGTCGCCGGGCAAGGAAACAACTCCAACGACACCGTCTACGGCATGTTCCAGTGCTACGGCGATGCGACCGTCCAGGCCTGTCAAAAATGTGTTTCCAACGCAAGCAAAGACATCCTTCAGAGATGCCCCAATAATACAGGAGCCGTCGGGTGGTACGACAAGTGCTGGTTACATTACTCCGACCAGTATTTGTTCTCCAAAACGGACGAATACCCCAGGTTAGTTTATTATAACGTCAACAATGCAACAGACACGACCGGCTTTATGAAGCTGGTGGGTGAAACCTTGAGCGGGGTTGCGAAAAAGGCATCGGAAGGCGGAAGCAAGAAATTTGCGACAAAAACAGTAGACTATGATGCCTTTCAAACTCTGTATACTATGGCGCAGTGCACATCGGATCTATCTGAGATTGATTGTCGCACGTGTCTCAGCAACAGTATTAGCAATTTGCCTATTTGCTGTAATGGAAGAGTGGGCGGAGTAACCGTCACGCCCAGTTGCTTTTTAAGGTATGAAACGTACCCCTTTTACCAGGAAACGGCCCCGCCACCTGCGCTTCCGCCACCAGCTCCTTGGCCGGAATCCACTTCCAAAGGTCAGTTGTTACTGCTTCAAGGAATAAACATTGTACGAATTTTTTCACCCAAATTTGTTGCGCTTGAAAGATTGTTTCGACAACGAAGCTAGAACTCTTCTGATAAATCTACAGGGTTAAGATTGTAAATTTATTCTAAAAGTTTTCATTCAAAAATTAAAACTCTTTCAAATAGAAGACCTTCTGTTTAAAAGTTTAAGTGTAAAGAATATGTAATTTAAATTAATAAATGATGTTTTACTTAATAATAACTTTTTATTACAAAGGGTGAGCTAAAATTTAGTGTTACAAGTGGGATCCAAGCTTTGGACCACTATGCAACACAGGTATCGAGTTTAGTTAACAATTGTAAGGGTCTATTTGGCTCAATAAAAAGAAGGGGAGGGGAGGGATTTTAATGGAGAGAAGGAGAGGGGAGAAAAGTGAAAGGATTTTAATATTACCTTGTTTGGATTTATAGAAAGGGAGGGGAGGGGAGGAGTTTTAATATTACCTTGTTTGGTTCATGAGGAGAAGGGAGGGAAAATATTTTAACATGAACAATTTTGCTCTTATTTTATTTAAGATTATTTTTTTCAAATTTTATAGAATGTTTAATAAAATAGAATTGTAAATAATATTTAATATATTGAGCAATACTTATACCAAAATTCTAATACACTCTTGAACATGAAGTATTATTGAAAAGAAGGCTGCAATAATGTTCAGCCACAACTTGCACTGTATCCCATCTTTGAATGAAATATTTGGTCAAACAAATAAGCTCATTAGACGTGGGACCTCGTTTTCATCTGTTTTTATCTTTATGGCTACAAAGCTTTGAGGATTTAAATTTTGACGTATATAAATTATGTACGTCAAAATTTAAATCCTCAAAACTTTGTTCATTGAATTGTCTATTTTATCTTTTCAAATTTCACATTTACATGCAAAGGAGAGAGCAGCGTTTGGAGATAAGAAGAAAATGATTTAGGGTAGTATAGGGATATTAAAAATAAATATGGGCATAATGATCACAACATGGCAAAATATTGCCCTTTCTCTTCAAATTCTTCCAATTTCGGAGGGGAGGTTGAACAAGAGAAAATGATTAAAATCCTTCCCCCTCCCCCCCTCCAAATCCCTCGTACCAAACTCACCCTAAACTTAGGAATTGTTTTACAAGAAATCAGAGAATACGTTGAGGATAAAGAAAAAATAGTGTAATTTTAATAAAAATAGTGAATATGTATGTAACTTAGTCCCCCCCCCCCCCAAAATTCAGATAAAAGCAGGATTTCGGCTGGGATAATTATTGCCATAGCTGTTCCAACGGTGACATTCATATTGCTCTGCTTCTTGTGCTTAAAAAGGAAGGCAAGGAAAGATGCTTCAGTTCCTAAGCAAAGTGGTATGATAAATATCAGCTCTCATGTTTAATTTGATACAAATGCAATTTTCACTTTAATTATTACATGGAAGTTCCTTAGATACCATAATCCCTGCATTTTTCTTTTTTGGTTTTTGGTTATGTAGTTGATATTTCAAGCGTAGAATCCCTGAAATTTGATTTGGATACCATCAGAACAGCCACAAATGACTTCTCTCCTGACAATAAACTTGGTCAAGGAGGATTTGGTGAGGTTTACAAGGTATATAAATCTGTTATACTTGTAAAAATCGGGATCACTACTCTTAAAATCATAAATAACTATTTGTTTGCAAATGGATTTTAATAGATTGATAATTCCTTATGAAGGGTGTTCTACCTGGTGGACAAGAGTTAGCCATAAAAAGACTATCAAGCGGTTCAAAACAAGGTGTGGGAGAATTTAAGAATGAAGTTGTTACGATGGCAAAACTTCAACATAGAAATCTCGTAAGATTACTTGGATTTTGTTTGGATGAAGAAGAAAAGATACTCATATACGAATTTTTGCCCAACAGGAGCTTGGATAATTTTTTGTTCGGTAGGTTTTGCAAAATTATTTTCTGCGTTTAGTTATGCATATGCTCACTCCTCAAATTATATAATAATTATTATTAATTGCATTGGCTAACTTGGGGTGAGGATGTGAATCTAATTTTTTATCTTATTATTTGAATTGGCTTCTTACTGTGGGTGTAGGACTTGAAAACCAAGGTAAATTGAATTGGTCAACGCGTTATAAGATCATTGAAGGCATTACAAGAGGGATGCTTTATCTTCATGAAGATTCTCGACTAAAAATCATACATCGTGATCTCAAAGCTAGTAATATATTGTTAGATGAAGATTTGAATCCAAAAATCTCTGATTTTGGTATGGCTAAAATTTTTGGAGTTGATCAAACGCAAGCAAGCACAAGTAGAGTTGTCGGCACCTTGTAAGTTAAATTTCTTCATGCCAATTGTTTTGCATCATACTTTATAATAAACTTTAGAAGAGAAATTATTTATCTATGCTTTTTGTTGTAGTGGATACATGGCTCCAGAGTATGCAATGCATGGTCATATTTCAATCAAATCTGATATATATAGTTTTGGTGTCCTAATTTTGGAGATTATTAGCGGCAAGAAGAATACATCTTTCTATATTTCAAGCTATGCTGAAGACCTACTAAGCTATGTGAGTATATTATCTTTTTTCGGGTGAAAGCCACGTAGGTATAATATCAAAAGTAAATAAACTTAGATGGTAGCTAGAGGGGTCAAAATCTTGACACATTAATTATAGATGATTGGAATTGCACTTTGCAGGCCTGGAGGCTGTGGAGGGAAGGGAGGCCATTGGAATTGCTGGATCCTAGTTTAAGAGATTCTTGTTCAAGAAATGAAGTTACTAAATGCATCCATATAAGCTTGTTATGTATTCAGGAAAACCCAGCTCTGAGACCCACTATACAGTCTATTATGGTGATGCTAAGCAGTCACTCCGTCACATTGTCGCATCCTCGGAAACCAGCCTTTTTTGTTGGTCGCCATAGAACAGATTCAAACAATCCAACCATTTATGAAAATAGTTCAGATCAAGCTACCAGCAACTCTGCGCAGTGGTCTGTGGATAAAGATCCGATTAGTGATTTGTACCCTCGTTAGTGTCCTTGTTTATCACTTACGGATAATATGACAGCTTTTCATACGTATCTTTTACTCAATAATGAATGATGTTTCTGTTAATGAGTCTAAATCCATTCATTATACGCAGTTGATATTTGAACAACTGGAATGATGGAGAAAATTTCATAAGAGAATGTACGTAGATATGCATGGCAGATCTTAGTTAAAATCGAATTTAATAAATGAAGAGAAGGAAAAGGGAAAGCGATCAAGTTGTCATTGTCAAAAGTTTTAAGCAGAAGATTACGATCAGTTAGATCAGTTAGATGTCCCCTTCTCATTTTCACAGATTATTCTTCGGATTTATGTTTTTTCACCTTACACTATTTTAATCAGAAGACTACTCTGATAAAGGTAGATAGTTGTATATATTTTTAGAAAAATCTAAAAAGAAAAATGATAGTTGAATTTCAAAATTCTAAATCAGTATTAGTTACTATGCTCATAAAAAAAATGAGAACACTAGAAAACAAATAACAACCCTGATTTGAAAATTTGAAATTCAACAGTCTCTTTTTAATATTTTTTTATCTCTACCTTTTTATCATTTGAACATAAATTTTGAATTCTTCATCTAAATGAAAATTTTCTTATTTAAGCAAAAAGTTTTTGATATCTATATGTCCTCACCCTGAAAATTTTCATTTTTTCCTACCTTTTCATCTATCATTTAGTTAAATACTTTTTTCTTAGATTATTATGTACCCCGTGTAATGTCTGGAAAAATAATCCAATTATTTATTTAACGATATGGTATTCCTATTTTCTTTCGGCATTGACGCTGAAAGAAGAATCTAATGATAAATTAAATCACAATTAATGAAGACTTGAAAACATTTTCACGTTTAAAAAGGCCTAAAAATTTAAATAAACAAAATTTCTTCACGGCCTTTTCGCAGATACGAAGAACAATAGATGAAAACATTAATCATTTATTAATTTTTGATTATATCATTATATTTCTCGATTTTTTTTTCATGACTTAATTTATAGTTGAACACTACTCAAGAAGAGATGGTGCTCTCCAGGTTCTATCCAGCACAACGCTGGTTAAAGATATCATTGTTCAAGCTAGATATATTTCTGTGTAAGAATTGAGATGTAGACGTCGTAACGCAAATCTCATATATAGAGGCAAATTTTTGTGTCCATCTTTCAGCACTGAAATAATGTAGACGTCGTAACATAAATCTCATACACAGAGGCAGATTTTTGTGACCATTTTTTAGCTAGAAATACGAAATTCTAGGTAGGTAATTTATGCTTTTAATTTGATCACCGCAAGTTGTCTCCGACACACATAAGATTTGGCAAGCTAGCCAGCGTTGAATCATTGTAAAAGTAAAACCATGTGCTCTGAAAAAGGATGGAAGAGCCCAATAAAGGTGGACCATTGAAAATGTGGAGTTGTAAGCAGGAAAAGTCGCAACAAAATTTAATGTTAACGATGGGGTTATACAAATTTGAGTCCCTCAAATTTGAGCCAATTTTAGTATTGGTCCTTAAAATTTCAAATCTATAGTATTGGTCCCTAAAATTTTGGGTGTTAAAAAATATTGATCATTGGTACCTTTGCACTGTTAACTTCATTTGAGATAGCACTAACACTGTTTAACTTGATGAGGTGGGTATATAAGCTAGCACACATATGTGGCTTGATGACCTCGACATAAAGGGGAAAAAAACACAACTAAAAAAAAAAAAGCTCACACACATGACAGAACAATAGAAATGGAGGCAGCAAATACATTGTTGATCTCTCCCACTAATTCACTCGAGACAGCAACTATGCAATAATACTCCTCTTTTCCCCTGCAAAAAAAAAAGGACAATTCCATGGTCCAAGGGGCATATTTTATGTGTGAACGATAAAATGGTGCTCAGGACTCACCTTGAAAGCAAGTACAAGCTTGCTTATGACGGATACATCTCCAAGGTATGTCAAATGTATTGGTTATTAGATCTTGGAATAAAATAAGTAAGTTAATGTTCTTTGCCCTATTTTGCAGCTTATATCCGGTGTCATGAAAAGAAAACTCTTGTTGATAGGTGCTGATTCCACCTTATAATGTGTACTTCATTGATGATGCCTTGTTAGCTACTATTATGTTCAACTAAAATTCATCATATCCAATTATGATACTATTGTGATGTCATTAAAATTCATGATATGTGACTAAAATAATGCCAAGTTACAATTCAAATTGCATCTCTGTCAGTCTCTATTTTTTAGACTAAAAACAGAGCTAATAAAATAATGTGGTGACACAGTCTTCCAGGTAAGATCAACCCATTTAAGTCCAAGCACTTAAATGGGAAGGCAAAGGACATCTTGACACCCTCAGCATTTGCACCTTGAACAAGTCTCTTGATTCCAAATTGTTAACTCATTGCAAGGTCTGTTCTTTTAGTCTTATTGTTTTGAACATTTTAATAATTAATTACCTTGATCAACTTGTGGTCAAGCTTCAATGTGTGGATCGGTTTTTAGCCAGTAATGCTTAATTACTCCCGTACCACATGTCATTTCCTCTGCTGGCAATCACTAGTCTATGTTTAACGACTTCAACGCCCAACACATGCAATGAAGATAACATGAGGGTAGTAAGGGGAATCATCATCAGCTTTATTTATGCAACCACAAAACATTGCTGGATCCTCTTTACCTGTCGTTTGCATCAAAGAGGAGACTTGATCGCGGTGACATATAGCTTGAGCGGAATGTTAGAGATTCTTGCACCCATCAAGATCGTCTGATTAACAAGGGATCATGATGAGGATGCTAAGTTGGTGAAGTTATTGAAACAAAGGGACCTAGCATTGTGCCCCGAAGGGACCACTTGTAAAGAGCCATATTTGCTGCAGTTTAGCCCAAAGTGAGCCATGAAATAACTTAGGTCGTTGTTGATTGCCACATCAGCATGTTCCTCCTCATTAGGTTAGCGGTGTGAAGATACCAGGGACCAATGATTTTGTAACGATTAAAATTCTATGGACGAATATCATGTGTTTAAAATTTCAGGGATTAAAAATTGACTTAAATTTGAGGGAGTAAAATTTGTGTTAACCCCTAACTATATAATAAATTGTAGTGATGGAGCACTTATTCCTACTTACGCGTTCCTTAAAGAGACTAGTTCCCTTATTTCTAAGCTCTCGAGAGTGACCATCTTCTGCACACTTTAACTATATATGGCGCATTGCACGTCCGCTATATCTGAGATTGATTGCAACTATTGTCTCAATAGACGTATCGACAATTTGCATATATGCTGTGATGGAAATGGAGGGGGAAGAAAACTTAAGCCGAGTTGCTATTTAAGGAACGAAACGTATATACCCCTTTTACCGGGAAGCGCCTCCTCGACCACCAGCTCCTTCCAAAGGCAAGTTATTATTCCTTCCAGGAAAAGTATATCAAGGATATGAGACTGAATATCAGGTCTTCTCCTTCCGTCAAATATACATGTTTTCTTTGCCGCGGAAGTTCAAACGGCGATATTCATAATGCAAGTCCGTGCATCCTGTGCCTTGGACGGAGAGCACGCAAGAATGTTTCAGTTCCTAAAACGGGTATTGAATTAGCCTTCGTGTAATCGTGTTTAGATAGACGTGCAATTTTCACTTTACATGGTAATTAGTATGTTTCCGTTCATGAATAATATCAGAAATTTACAATGACCTAACAGTTTTCAATTGACCATTCAAAGTAAACATATAATGTTTGTAAAGTCTTGGGAAATTTATCTGTGATTTCAAGTGCAGAGTCGCTGCATTTTGATTTTCGATGACATCAAATCAGCCACAAACAACTTCTCCCCCGACAACAAACTTGGACAAATTATTTTCAGGTGGATATGGCGAGGTGTACAAGGTATATAATTCTATTTTCTTGATGGCTGTCGCAAGCACTCTCAAACATAAATTATTTTTGTCTATAAACTGATTTTAGTAGCTGGTTATCTTCTATGCAGGGCATTTTACCTGGTGGATAAGAGTTAGTTGTGAAGAGACTATCAAGTGGTTCCAACCAAGGTTTGCCCGAATTTAAGAACGAAGTAGTGACGATGGCAACACTTCACCACAGAAATCCTGTAGGTTTTCTCGGATTTTGTTTGGATGAAGAAGTAAAGATACTGTGTATGAATTTGTGTCTAACAAAAGCTTGGATAATTTTTTGTTTGGTGAGTTATGCAGAATTATTTTTTCAATTTGGGTAAACGAAATAATTCTTTTTAGTAATTTGTTTGAACTTGGTAGAGATGTGAATATAACCTTTTATCAGGACCTGAAAATAATGGTAAATTGAATCGGTGAAATTGATGCAAGATTATTGAAGGCATTGCAAGGGGAATACTTTATCTTCATGAAGATTTTCAACTTAAAATTATACATCATGATCTAAAATTTAGCAATGTACTGTTGAATGAAGACTTAAATCCAAAAATTTCTAATTTTAGTAAGGCTAAAATATTCAGAGTTGATCAAACTCAAGCAAGCACAAATAAAGTTGTTGAGACATTGTAAATTGCTTGAATCAACAATTTTATTTTAGTCTTTCTATAATAATTTATAAAGAACTATGCAAGAGAGATTATTTGCCATCTATACGTGTGCTATTTATAGTGGCTACAGCGCTCCAATGCATGCTCATCTTTTTTTCAAATATATATATATATATATATATATATATATATATATATAGTTTTGGTATCTTAATCTTGGAGATCATTAGTGGCAAGAAGAATACATCTTTCTATGAATCAAACTATGCTGAAAACCTGCTAACCTATGTAAGTATATTATCAAAGTAAATAAACTAAAATGTTAGCTAGCTAGGGAGACCAAAATATTAACAAAATAATTATATATGATTAAATTTGCAGGCCTGGAAACTCTGGAGAGAAGGATCGCCATTAGAATTGCTGGATCCCAGTCTAAGCAATTCATGTCCAGGAAATGAGGTTCTTAAATGCATT